TGCCACAGCCTCCCGAGTAGCTGGGATTACAGGTGCCTGCCAACAGGCCCGGCTAATTTTTTCTATGTTTAGTAGAGTCACGGTTTCGTCATGTTGGGCAGGCTGGTCTCTAACTCCTGACCCCAGGTGATCCGCCTCCCTCGGCCTTCCAAAATGCTGGAATTACAGGCGTAAGCCACCGCGACCGGCCTAAAATAATTTTAACTCGAATTTGATTTAAAAAAAAAAAAAAAAAGATTCTGATCAACCAGGAGTTTTAGAAAATCTCATTGTAGAGAGAATATTAAAAAATGTTAATCGATATTATGTACGAATTTCTGAATATGGTAATACTAAGTATAATCCCCCCATAATTCTATAATCTTACTCATAAAAGTCACTGTTGGCATTAAAGCTGATGAATGAAGTGGGGATACACACGCACTAGCTCCACTTCAGTTCTGACCCTTACTCCATAACTCTGGTTCCCAAACTGCATGGTTGGCACCACAACACACAGGCACCACAGGACGTAACGTGGAAGATATCACAGAAACTACCAGCTTTAAGTGCAGCACAGTTCCAACTGAACAGATTGCACTACATACCTTTCAATGACTTTGTGAAGCTGAGATTTTGGTATCACAGAAAATCAAGGTGAAACAGGAAACGAGGTTGGCGGTGCCTATCTGATTTCGAGGCTTGAAGTTGTATAGTACCCAACAGGTTCACACATCCTGTTACCAAGGGATTGTGATTAATTAAGAATAAAACACAAACATTACCTTTCCCCTCAATTTATGTGTATTAATTTTTTTAAACAGACATACAGTTGTTAGACCACAAATACTTTCAAATTCTTTGGGGTAACTACTTAATAAATGGAACTGTTGCATTTCTTTTGGCCTACGGACACTAAGGGCATCAAGAACAGAAAAAGTTTGGGATTCTACAGCAAGAACTTCTAAAATCATATTTCATAATGGGTGTTCCAATTAGGTAGAAAGTGGAGAGAGTAGAAATGACTTTAGACAAGTTTCAAGACTCAGCCTGCAGTTTGATGACCATTAAGTCTCCTTCAAATATGTTCTTAGACCTACATTAAGATGGGAAAGAGAGAGAAATAACTGAACTATCTATTGGTTAAGAATTATGGTGGGGCCGGGCGCGGTGGCTCAAGCCTGTAATCCCAGCACTTTGGGAGGCCGAGACGGGCGGATCACGAGGTCAGGAGATTGGCTAACACGGTGAAACCCCGTCTCTACTAAAAATACAAAAAACTAGCCGGGCAAGGTGGCGGGCGCCTGTAGTCCCAGCTACTCGGGAGGCTGAGGCAGGAGAATGGCGTGAACCCAGGAGGTGGAGCTTGCAGTGAGCTGAGATCCGGCCACTGCACTCCAGCCTGGGCGACAGAGCGAGACTCCGTCTCAAAAAAAAAAAAAAAAAAAAAAGAATTATGGTGGTTAATTTATTAAGTCATTCAACAAACTTAGTGACCTCCTACTACAGAGAAGCTCAAGGTAAATTATGTTTTCAAGATGTTTATAGCTTACATACCACTATTAAAATGTTAAGCTTTTGTTCGGCACAGTGGCTCACACCTGTAAGCCCACCACTTTGGGGGACCGAGGTGGGCAGACTGCTTGAGCTCTGGAGTTAGAGACCAGCTTGGGCAACATGGCAAAATCCCGTCTCTACAAAAAATAGCTGGCATGGTAGCACATGCCTTAGTTCCAGTTACTCAGCAAGCTGAAGTAGGAGAATGACCTGAGCCTAGGAGGTCCAGGCTGCAGTGAGCTGTGATTGCGCCACTGCACTACAGCCTAGGTAACAAAGTGAGACCCCACTTAAAAAAAAAAAAAAGCTTTTTCATGAAGGAAGTGTTTGTGTTGTGCTAAAAATAAATAAAAAAATAAGCCTTTTGGATAATGAAAAAGAATAAGAAATTAAGTTGCTTAAAGGAATGGGTAACAAGTCACTACGAATGGGTAAGGGTTTCAAGGGTTATTAGCTTTCATGATCCACCATTTGAGGTAACAAAATACCAAGAGGTACCAAATAGAACTGAATGAGAGAACAACAACAACAAAAAATCAAAAAAGTAATTTTCAGAACAAATACTTAAAATGATTATCTAGAAAAACTGGCTACCAACTTATCAAATTCCTAGTTCTCCTCCTCTGCCATTGATTTCTTAATGGAAATTGGCTTTAAATTCAAATAAAGCAATGTGACTTATCTTTAGCTATAATTATTACCTAAAATTAGTATCGAGATTTAAGCATGAATTTTACTTATGTCGCTTACTTTTATGGTATCACAGATGTGACATCATAAAAACATAATCAATTAGGTCAGAAGAAATGACACAGCATTCCAGATGACCACAACAACGAGTAAGAATGTTTAAAACCAAGCATCATGTTTACAGCCAACTTGTTTTCAAGAAACGTGCCAAGAATGTACACAGCGAACAGTGTCTTCAAAAAATGGTGCTGGGAAATCTAGACCACTCTCTCTCACCATATGCAAAAATCAAATCAAAATGGACTGAAAACTTAAATTTAAAACCCGCAAGTATGAAACTACTTGAAGAAAACATTGTGGAAATGCTTCAAGACACTGGTCTGGGCAAAGATTTCTGTGGTAAGACCTCAAAAGTACAGGCAACCAAAGCAAAAACAGACAAATGGGATTATATCAAGCTAAAAACTTCTGCACAGCAAAGGAAACAAGAGTGAAGAGATAACCTACAGAAAGGGAGAAAGTATCTGCGAAACTATTCATCTGACAGGGGATTCACAACCGGAATATAGAAGAAACTCAATAGCAAAAAAAAGAAGCAATCCTACTACAAATGGGCAAAAGATCTGAATAGACATTTCCTAAAAGACACACAAATGGCCAACAGGTATATATGTAAAAAATGCTCAATATCAGTAATACCAGGGAAATGCAAGTCGAAACCACAATGAGATACCATCTCATCTCGGTTAAAACGGCTTTTATCAGAAAGACTTTTAAAAAAAGGATACTAAGGCCGTCGCGGTCACTCACACCTGTAATCCCAGCACTTTGGGAGGGGAAGGTAGGCAGATCACTTGAGGTCAGGAGTTCGAGACCAGCCTGCCAACATACTGAAACCCCATCTCTACCAAAAATACAAAAATTAGCCGGACGTGGTGATGTGCGCCTGTAATACCAGCTACTGTGGAGGCTGAGGCATGAGAATCGCTTGAACCCAGAGGTGAAGGTTGCAGGGAACTAAGATCAAGCCACTGCACTCCGGCCTGGGTGACAGAGCAAGGCTCCGTCAAAAAAAAAAAAAAAAAATGCTGATGAGGATGCAGAAAAGAGGGAACACTTGTACACCGTTAGGGGGAATGTAAATTAGCAAGCCACTAATTTACATACTGGGAAAAGTATGGAGGTTCTTCAAAAAAAAACCCAAAAAATAGAACTGGCGCTATTGAGATGAGTTTCTTCTATATTCTGGTTAATCCCCGTCTGATGAATAGTTTTCCAAATTTGGGAATAGATCCAAAAGAAAGGAAATCAGTATATCCAAGAAATATCTGCAGTCTCAAGTTTATTCACAATAGTCAAGATACGGAATCAACCTAAGTGTCCATCAACAGATGAATAAAGATAATGCAGCACATACACACAATGGAATATGAGTCATTAAAAAGAATGAAATCCTGTCATTTGCAACAACATGGATAAACCCGGATGTCATCATGTTAAGTGAAATAAGTCAGGCACATGAAGACACTATCATGTTGTCACTCAAGCGGGAGCTAAAACTGTGGAGGTAAAGAGTGAAATGGTGGTTACCACAGACTGGGAAGGGTAGCAGGAAGACGGGGATGAAGAAGAGAAACTGGTTAATGGGTACAAAAAAACCCCAGAAGAAATAAAATCTAGTGCCTGATAGTACGGTGGGGTGGACACAGTTAACAGTAACTTATTGTGTAGTTCAAAATAGCTAAAAGAAAAATTGGAATGCTCCCAACATAAAGAAAACATAAATGTTTGAGATGACAAATACCCCAATCGCCCTGATTTGGTCGTTACACATTGTATGCATGTATCAAAATATCACCTGTACCTCCAAATATGTGCAACTTCTATGTACCAATTTAACAAATGGAGGGGAACAAACCAAACTCAAAGTGGAATAATGAAAACACTCCAAAGGAAAGAGAGCTGTCCCTCAGAATCCTCGAGGAGAAACCTTGCAGAGGTGGTCGACCGACATCGAGAAGGATACGCGATAAATAACCACCCGGACGTTTCGACCTGGCTTTCCAGCCACACCTCCGGAGCAGGCTAAGTCTCTGCGTCATTTCAGTTCCTCGGGGTACGACCCAGCGGGCCGCCAGGGCCGCGGGGATAAAGCCCACGCGGGATAAGCTCTTAAGCCCCAAGCCAGCCGCTTGACCCTCTACTACGGGCCCGAGAGGACGCAGCGAGGCGAGAAGGGACTCTTCCAGCCAAGTTCTCCCCTCCGTCATTGGCGCGGCCTGTTACTCAACCTCTGGTTCAGGTTTCCGAGGCGTCGCTCAAGACAAACCTGAGGACCCCGCGCCCCTCCCCAGCACGGCCCTGGGGCGCGAGCTGGAGCAGCTCTTCGGGCTGCTTCTCCCACCCCGGCTCGCTCAGTCTGGAGGAGCAACAGCGCCCGCCCACCCCAAGCAGTTCCCATTTTGCTTGGGACGGCGGACACAAGGCGACAGACGCACGCCGCGGCCAGTGAAGCACAGGGCTAACCGAAGTGAGCCCATGTCAGGAGTGGGAGTGCCACCTCCACCGCTCCACGGCAGCCGAGGAATAAACACAAAGAAAGGAAGGGTCGGAGTTCCAGCCGTCACACTCACCAGCACACCCAAACGCGATTCTGTTTGCGGAAACGGCGGCCCGCGCCACGCGTGTCTGGTTACGTCACTTCCGGAGGTGCGGGGTCACGTGGCGCCGCTCAGGAGAGCGTGCCGCGACGCAAGTCCTCCGCGCCGGACTACGAGTCCCGACGTGCCGCGCGCGGCATGCGGAGGCTTCGCTGAGAGGGCACGGGCGGTCGCGAGCACGTTGCTAGTGGGCGCGGCTGGCAGGCCGGAGGCGGTAGGGGGCTAGCGTCCGGCTGAGTCCCGCGGGTTCTGGCACCCGGACCCGCACTCGGTCGGGGTGCTCTGCTGAGTAACACTGCCGTGGCGTTCGCGGAGCTGTGGTCCAGCCTGCGCGGCGGGAAGCGGCGGCGGCGGCGGCGGCCCCAGCGTCCTAAGAGGTAGCCTGGGCCCCAGGCCTCTGGGGCAGCGGGAGGGGTCTAGAGGGCACCTTCAACCCTGGGCGTGTGTCCGGGAGCTGTCGCGGCGCGAACCCGGCAACTGCTCTGCGGGCGCCGCTCTTCCGGCTGCGGCAGTGTACGACCGCCGGACTGGGGTCGTCCACACCCGCAGACCCCACCGCCCCCGGCCCAGAGAGGCTCCCCCGCCCTTCCGGTTGAGCCAGTGTCCTGGCAAATCTTGCTTTGGGACGGTTTTTCTGCCTGCTCTGCTGTAACCCTTCACCATCTTCTCTTCTCTTCCTCGGAAGCCGGTTGAGGAGGGGTCTGGAAGCGCCCCCGTTCGGAGTGGTTTTAAAAATTAGCAGTTTCTTGTTAGGAACTGGCAGATTGGTCCTTACCGCCGTATTTGGGAAGCCACAAGAGGCCATTCTCACCTGTTAGGTTTTGAGAAAAGGGACAGCCTATACCTCTTCTTGACGCATACCTAAGGGTGCATTACTCTGCGTTGGCTGAACTTGGCATGGTGTGGTTTGGGGGAGACAACACACTTTTTTTGGCCATCACCCCAGATTTCTACTGGGGAGTGAAAGCGCCTACTGTGCTGAAACTCGAAAGCTCCATAGTTGAGGACTTTCAACCTGAGATCAGGGTCAAAACTACCTGTGGATTATTGATGCGTGTACATGTTAACGACGTGCGTCAAGTCCCCACCTTCCAAGGGTGTAAAACTGATCAGCTTTACAATCCATCTTGAATTACTCTTGACCAAAATTGATCCCTTTAAAACAGCTTTGAAAATGTGCTTTACCAGCCTGCCTTCTTGTCAGTAGGCACAGATATATTAATGAATGGACCTGGCTTTGGGGAAGGCAGCATTTGCAGCGTTGTAGTTCCAATCTAATCACTTGTAAATTGTGGGCATCTGAGGTTGTTGACCCCTTTCAAACTTTGAATCGAGAGTGACGCCTGTTTTTCACAAATAGGGATGAACCATCAATTTCAGATGACTGCTTGTATTATTATATGAAATGAGCTAAGTTGAGAATCTCATTTCATGAATATTGACAATTGCAAAGGTGAAGGTCTTAAAGATCGAATACATTATAGGCATATCTGTCATGCGCGTCCGTGTGAAGAGACCACCAGACAGGCTTTGTGTGAGCAATAAAGCTTTTTAATCACCTGGGTGCAGGCAGGCTGAGTCCGAAAAGCGAAGGGAGATAAGGGTGGGCCGTTTTATAGGATTTGGGTAAGTAAAGGAAAATTACAGTCAAAGGGGGGTTGTTCTCTGGAGGGCGGGAGTGGGGGGGTCACAAGGTGCTCGGTGGGGGAGCTTCTTGAGCCAGGATGAGCCAGGAAAAGGAATTTCACAAGTTAATATCATCGCTTAAGGCAAGGACCGGCCGTTTTCACTTCTTTTGTGGTGGAATGTCATCCGTTAAGGCGAGGCAGGGCATTTGCACTTCTTTTGTGATTCTTCAGTTACTTGAGGCCATCTGGGCGTATATATACGTGCAAGTCACAGGGTATGCGATGGCTTGGCTTGGGCTCAGAGGCCTGACAATATCCAAGCATTAGAACCAGGCAATTACATTCCCTGGTTCTGATGCTTAAGTTTCTTGAGATAATTACTGTTGTAATTTTACAGAAAATGAGTGTAATTTAGACTTTTGAAAGCATGTTTTAATGTTTTTAAACACCAGGCACGGCGGTTTACTCCTGTAATCCCATCTCTTTGGGAGACCGAGGTGGGTGGATCACGTTCAAGACCAGCCTGGCCAACATGGTGAAACCCCGTCTCTACTAAAAATACAAAAATTAGCGGGGCGTGATGGCACGTGCCTGTAATCTCAGCTACTCAGGAGGCTGAGGCAGGAGAATCACTTAAACCTGGGAGGCGGAGGTTGCAGTGAGCCGAGATTGCACCATTGCACTCCAGCCTGGGCGACAGAGCGAGACTGTCTGTCTCAAAAATCAAAACAAAAAAATTTTATTTGATCAAAAGCCCCTTAACTATGTGTTTATGAAAACTCCACGATGATGGGATATATAGAGATTACATTTTGTAGTTTTTATAAAACTTAACTAGAAGTTATGTAAATTCATTTGAGAATAGAGAGGAAGGATTCTTGAAAGCAGTTAATGTAAGAAGTAAATGAGCCAGATAAAAATGATTTTAAAGTTACCATTGGTGTTATTTTTCCCTTATTATTACCTGAGTAATCGCTGGTTTTCTGGACATTAAAATAATAATAGCTAATACTTGAGTACTTTTTAAAATTTTAAATTTTAAAACAATTTAGTAAATTTTTTTAGTAATAAAAAAATAAGTAAATTTTTTTAGTAATAAAAAAATAATAACAGCTAATACTTGAGTACCTGAGTAATCGCTGGATTTTCTGACATTAAAATAATAATAGCTAATACTTGGAGTACTTTTAAAATTTTAAATTTTAAAACAATTTAGTAAATTTTTTTAGTAATAAAAAAATAACAGCTAATACTTGAGTACCTGAGTAATCTCTGATTTTCTGGACATTAAAATAATAATAGCTAATACTTGAGCTTAGTGCTTTATTCATTTGCACTCGTTTATTTCTAACTGAACCCAGTGGTATAATTATGAGTGTTTTACAGATGAGGGTTAAGTAACTTGGCCAAGATCATGCAGTTTGTAAGTAGTGGGATCTGGATTTGGACCCAGGCAGTCTGGCTAATTGACCAGATTCTGCTAATAATGAAACAGTGCTGGCTAGAAGGTCATACTCAGAACTGGAAGTTGCCTAGCAAATAGGTTTTCAGAAAGTGTTTTGATATTTCTTAATACCTGGGTTGTTATGTCCAGAGAGAACATAGTTAAATAAGGATGTTATCTTGCTGGAATGTGAGCTCCACCAAGACAAGGAAAGGATGTGTAGGATTTATTTCAACCCATTTGTAAGAAAGTGAGAGCACTTCTGTCAGAGGTATAATTTTAAAGTGTGATTTCTGTTGTAGAGTTGAAGATCATATTTTTGAAACATAGAGATTGTTTTAAAAATGTAGATACAATGTTATAGTTTCCTAAGATAGTGTTTTGTGAAGAGAGGTGGTTCATGGAAGCTTTGTTCCTACAATTATTTTTGAATGAAGGACTTTTCCTCTGTTCTACTCAGAAAAGTGTTCTTACTAAAATTTTGTGGCCTTTCTGGAACAAATAAAATATTATTGTTTAAAAGGTTTTTCCTTCAGTTGAAAATAAGATTTTGTTGAGTAATACTGTGTGTGATGATTAGTTTTATTATGTCAGCTTAGCTAGGCTATAATACCTAGTTATTTAATCAGATACTAATTTGGTTCATGCTATGATGGTCTTCTGAAGACGTGGTTAACATCTATAATCAGCTGACCTAAACTAAAGGATATTACCTTAATTAATGTGGGTGGACCTCATTCAATCAACTGAAGGCTAAAAAAGCCAAAACAGGTGTCCTGAAGAGGACAGTATTTTCCTCAAGACTATAGCATCAATTCCTGCCTGAGTTTCCTGTCTGTAGATTACCCTACACATTTTGAAGTTTCTAGCCCCTACAATTGTGTAAGCCAGTTCCCTAAAATACCAATATCTCTATATCTGTCTATATGTAGATGAAGATATTTATGTTTTTATCTACATCTATATTTTTTCCTATCAGTTCTGTATCTCTGGAGAGCCCTGACTGATTCAAATTTGGGTGTGAGAGTGCTTCTAGTGAGCAGAATCTTAAGGATGAGTTTTATGAATTGATGATAGTGTTTCCGGAACTGGTTTTCTTGACTGATCAGATTTAAAGGCAATAATGAGTATTCCCAGTGGAAAAGAGGGTGCTGGTAGTCCATGGTGTGATGTGGCAAGAGATACGCACAAGATCACACTTGGATGCTCCCACTCATGCTTATAGACAAGATTCAGAATGATCAGGTATTTGATACCTTAGAACATTTTAATCAAATTAATGAGTATAATAAGATAGGCTGGTTGCTTTTAACTGTGCTGTGTAAAGTGAGAAAAGAAAAGGATTATCCCAGCTACTGGGGAGGCTGAGGCAGGAGAATCGCTTGAATCCAGGAGGCGGAGGTTGCAGTGAGCCGAGATCGCACCCCTGCACTCCAAACTGAGTAACAGAGTGAGACTGTCTCAAAAAAAAAAAAAAAACAAAAAAACAAAGGGCAAGCTTAATTAAGGCTTCAAATTCCCGATTGAAGCTCCACATAAGTGACCCGAAAAGTTTCTGTGTCTGCCCTGAAGAAACCTGTATCTCTTGTAGCTGCAGAGCTGGAGTTGGTGAAAACCAAACCCAGAGTCTCATCCTGTAGGTGGCTGAATTACAGTGCTAACTGAATTCCCTTCTTCACCTTGGTGTGCTGTTAAAATGAAGGCATTGATTGGGAAGGAATGGGATCCTCACATTTGGAATAGGGCCATATGGGAACATCCTGATGAAGTTGGGGATGTTAAACTTCTAAATTTTACTCACTCTTTTTTGCCAGTAGAAGCAATTCTTCCACCTCTGTTTGAGGAGATTAACTCTGCTTTGCCTGAAGAACCTGTAATGATGTCCCTTGAGGTAGTTACCTTGTAAGATGTTGCTGGTTCTCCTGAGGCACCCATGAAGAGCTCTGGGGCTGCTCTTCTCTGCTGGTCAGAGATTGCAGTGGGAGCTGCTGCCACTGACTGCGGGTCCTTAACATCCCGGGTGGCGGGGCCGTGTCTGCGGCAGGGATGGTTGGATCCCAACTTCTAAATTTTACTCACTTCTTTTGCCAGTAGAAGCAATTCTTCCACCTCTGTTTGAGAGATTAACTCTGCTTCTCGCCTGAAGAACCTGGGTAAAATAGATGTCCCTGAGGTAGTTACCTTGTAAGATGTTGCCGGTTCTCCTGAGGCACCCATGAAGAGCTTTCCAAAGCTGCTTCCGCTGGTCAGAGATTGCAGGAGCCAAGCCACTGATCATGGTCCCAACATCCCGGTGGCGTACGGTTCGCGTAGGATGGCTGATCCTGGTGGCGTGGAAGCCGCAGCATTCCGCGCAGGATGGGCTGGATCCCGGCATGCGTGGCCGTGGTTCGCGGCAGGGATGGTTGATCCCGGTGGCGGGCCGAAGTCTGGGCGGCAGGGATGGTTGATCCTCGGTGGCGGCCGTCTGCGCCAGCGGCAGGATGGTTGGATCCCGGTGTAAGGGCCGTGGTTCTGGGTGTGCAGGGATGCTGGATCCTGGCGCGGGCCGTATCTATGTGTGCAGGGATGGTTGGATCCCGGTAAAGTGGGGGCCGTGTTCGCGGCAGGATGGTTGGATCCCGGTGGCGGGCCGTACTGCGGCAGGGATGGTTGATCCCGGGTGGCGGGGCCGCGGTTCCGCGCAGGGAGCTGGGCTGATCCCGGGTTGGCGGGCCGTGTCTAAGTGCAGGAATGGTTGATCCCGGGTGGCGGCCGTGTCTGCAGCAGGGATGGTTGATCCTCGGCGGCGGGGCCGTCTGCAGCAGTGGGATGGTTGATCCCCGGATGGTGTATCGCGGTTCGTGCAGGACAGTTGATCCCGGTGGCCGTGTCTGTGCAGTGGTGCAGGTGATGGTTGATCCCGGTGCGGGGCCGCGGTCTGCAGCAGGGATGGCGATCCCGGATGCTGGCGAAGCCCGTAGCAGGAGCTGAAGTTAGATCCCGGGTGGTGGGGCAATGCGTGGTAGTCTGCAGCAGGATGGTTGATCCCGATGGCGGGGCCGTGTCTGCAGCAGGGATGGTTGGATCCCGGGTGGTAGAGGCCATGTGATCACCAAAGACTGAGTGGGTGTGTTGCCATCATGGGGGACAGCGGAGTCAAAGTAGCAATCTGAACAGCCTGACTTGGGAGTCCTGCGGCGTTGGGTAGGTGGTCATGGTGTCCCTAGAAGAGAACTCGGTGGGCAGTCTACTGAATTCTGACTTAATCTCTGTAAGCAGAAGAGTTCTAGGTCAAGTGAATGGAAGCTTTACTTTAATTACCAAAGAAAGAGTCATGGTCCCTCAATCAATTCCCAGATTTGAGTCATTTTACAGACCAAGAACCCCTTGAATGAGGGGAGGCTGGATCCTTTTGAGGAAGGACCCCATTGTGCTGCCAAGAATTTATACCGTTAATTTTTTTCTCAGCGTTTCCCGAAGTGGCCTATGGCTTGTCAGGGTAAGTGTGCATTGGAGAAGAGGAAATAGACTTCTCATGGATTAGTGAATACTTAACTCTGAACTGACACTAATTCCAGGACTCTCAAAGTGTCATTTTGGCCCACCGTTCAGAGTAGGTGCTTGTTGAGGTTAGGTGGTCAGTAGAGGTTTAATCCAGGTCCTCCTCACAGTGAGTCCGCATATTCATCCTGTGGTTACTTTGCCAGTTCCAGGATGCATAAGTGGTATAGACATACTCAGCAACTGGCAGAATCCCAACACTGGTTCCCCGACCTGTGGAGTGAGGGCTATTGTGGTAAGAAAGGCCAAATAAAAGCCACTAGAGCTGCCTCTTCCTGGAGGAGTAGTAAGCCAAAAGCAATACCTCATTCCCGGAGGAATTGCAGAGATTGGTGCACTTAAGGATACAGGGGTGATGATTCCTGACATATTCACATTCAACCCTCCTATTTGGCCTGTGCAGAAAACAGATTGATCTTGGAAAATGACAGTGGATTATCATAAACTTAACTGAGTGGTGACTAATTGCAGCTGCTGTTCCATGTTTCATTTCATTACTTGAGAACCTATCCCCTAGTAGCTGGCATGCAGTTACTGATCTGCTGAATGCTTTGTCTTACTGTCTGTTAGTAAAGATCACTAAAAGCAGTTTTCTTTCAACTGACAAAGCCAGAAATACACCTTCACTGTCCTCCCTCGGAAATATCGACTTTCCAATACTGTATCATAACTTAGACCACAGAGATCTTGTTACGAGTTGAATTGTGTCTTCTAAAAATTTGTATATTGGATTCCTAGCCCTCATTACTTCAGGGTATGACCTTATTTGGGAATAGGGTAGTTAAAAATGTGATTAGATAAGATGAGGTCATACTGAAGTAGGCTGGGCCCCTAATCCAACACAACTGGTGTCCTTGTAAACAGGAGGAGTTTGAACACAGACATTCACACGGGGAGAATGCCGTATGAAACTGAAGTAGAGGAACACCAAGAAATGTCACACATTTCCAGCAAACCATCAGGAGCAAGGGGGGAGGCATGAAACAGATGCTTCCTCACTCCCTTTGAAGGAACTAATCCTTTTGACACCTTAATCTTGGACTTCTAACCCCATAGATGGAGACGGTACATTTCTGTTGTGTAAGCTCCTCAGTTTGTGGTTCTCTGTTACAGCAGCTGTAGCACACAGACAGAGACCCTGATTGCCCTTCCCTTCCACAAGACACCATCCTGGTCCATCACATTGATGGTGTTGTGCTGATTGGACCTGGTGGGCAAGAAGGAACAACTACTGTTGACTTACTGGTAAGACATTTGCATGTCAGAGGGCGGGAAGTAAATCCAACAAATGTTCAGGGTCCTTCTACTTGAGTGAAATTTCTAGGGGTCTGCTGGTGTGGTGTAGGGTGTGTTCCCACCTATAACAAAAAGAGAGAAGCAAGGTCTGGTGGGCCTCTTTGGATTTTGGAGGTGACAAATTCCTCATTTGGGTGTGCTACTTCAGGTTGTTTACTGAGTGACCCAAAATGCTACTGGTTTTGAGTGGATCCCAGAACAAAAGGCGCCTCTGCAACAGGTACAGGCTGCTGTGCAAACTGCTCTGCCTCTCAGGCCATATGACCCAGCAGATCTTATGGTGCTTGAAGTGTCAGTGGCAGACTGAAATGCTGTTTGGAACCTTTGGCAGGCCCTGTAGGAGCTAATTACAGTGTAGATCCTGGGATTTTGGAGCAAAGCCTTTCCATCCTTTGCAGGTAACCGCTCTTTTAAGAAACAGCTTTTGGGCTTGTTACTGGGCTTAGTAGAAACTCCACGCTTAACCATGGGCCACCAAGTTATGCAACCTGGCTAGAAAAATGACTGGAATGTTTCAGCAGTTAAGAGCACAAGCAGATGGCATGTGTTCAAATCCTGGTTGTGTTATATTTGCTAAGTATGTCGTCCTTGAGTAAGTGACCAAACTTTGTGTTTTAATGTCCTCATGGAGCGATTTTACAGAAGAAATGAGATGATACAGTGCTTAGCACAGAACCTGTTAATTTTTAGCTTCTCTTAACACAACTGAAACTGCTACTGCGATGTCGTGAAGTCATTAGTCCATGTCTTTAAATGTGATTGTAGAATTTCTTTGCCTTGGTACAGCAGAAAAAATAGAGTGATTTTTTTTTTTTTTTTTGAATTCATGTAAAGCAGAGCAGAAGTTTGAAATAGTGAATAGTCTTGTAGGCATTATGTGCTTTCAGGTTATTACTTGTGAGAATTAACCAGGGTAGCAGTGGTCTCCAACTTCTGTGGGTGAAAGGGTAGCTGGGCTTTAAGCATGTGCAGCAGTGGGCAAAGAATGGAGGTGAGGGAAGAGGCATCAGACATTAGGAAGGGATCCTTGCGGAGAAGTGGGAGGTGGGTGGTTCAGATTTAGTGGATGCCGATGGCAAGATGAGTCCTGTTAGAAAGTCTCATTGATAAGCAAAAATTGTTTTCAAGGCAGACTTAAAAATTAGGGCTTCCCCATTGTTACTTCTTTTACATTGCCTTTGTGACTTCTTGGACTTGATAAATTGAATTAAACATAGTGTTTTATTTGGAGTCCTTGATTTTTAACGTAAGCATGAATTAGAGTAACTCTTCCTTGCTTTTTGAAATACTGCAATTCCTGTTGCAGTTTGAGCTGCTTAGTAAGCTGCATTGTAATTTGAGTCATTTCTTAAAATTAGAGGAATTAGATAAACGGTGATGGGCTTGCAATGTAGTGTTTGCCAAATGAATGTCATATATAATGTTCAGAAAAATTTTATTTGTGTGGCACACGTTATAAAATAAAGCAGACATGTCAAGTTCTAAATGCAAGTTTTTACTTCACTTTTCTTGCCATCTTCATCACTGTAAATGCAAGTTTTTAAAAACACATATTTTAAAGTTGGACCCAGAATACAAGAGCTCTTTATTGCAACATGGCTTCTGGTACTCTGATGATCAAATCACATTTTCTGAAATATGCTTGATACAGTAAACACTGACAAAACTAGTTAACCCCACAGAGAAGGATACTGGTATTTTTCACCAAAGCCAAGCTGTAACAGGTTTTATTGCAACTTACTTCATGTAAAATATATGTATAATTTCTCATATGTCTTTTTTTGGTTTAGCAAGCATAGACCTTATTTATTAAGTGAATTCCTATTGCTAAGCATGTTTTAGTTAATTAGTAACAATAAATTTGTGTTAAAACTGATTTTCATGTAGGAGATAGAAATGAAATTTATAGTTTGGCTCTCAATCCTTTATTTTCAGGGAAAAGACACAATTTATACATATGAGCAATTTGTGAAGATGTGGGAAATTCACTAGATTGGCAGTTCTATTTTCTTTTTTTTTTTTTTTTTGCCTTTAATCAGCTATGTGATCAGGAACAAGTTATGAACTATTACATGTCCTTGCATTCCTTATCTGTAAACATAAAGAATGGTACTAAGGGGCCTCTTAGTTTCCTTCCAAGTCTTCCTGTAGTTCTAATGTAGACAACTGTGACTAAACCTAAGGTTGCTGCTTTTATACATTTGTACTCAGGGTCTGTATGGCCTGCCATTTTTGTAGTCCCCCTAACAAAAACTTTGAGAAGATGAAAATAATCCTTACTCATGCAATGGTTGGGAAGGTTTAGGAGAGAAGGCTTGTGTTTTCTATTGCTGTGTAGCAAATTACCCCCAAATTTGGCAGCTTAAAACAACACAGGTTTATTGTCTTGCAGTTTTTCTGGGTCAGGAGTATGGGCACATCTTAGCTGGTTTGCTGCTGAGCATCTCAAAGTGTCAAGCAGGCTGCATTCTCATCTGGAGATTCAACAGTGGAAGAACCTGTTTGCAAACTCATTCAGGTTGTATGCAGAGTTCATCATTTGTGCCTGCATGAGCGAGGATGCTGTCTTCTTCCTGTTGACTGGTGTTTTCCCTCAGGGACTAGGGCTGTTCCCTGTATGTGACCCTGTCCACAGGCAGTTCATCATATGGTACCTTGTTTCCTTGAGGCCAGCAGAAGACTGTGTCTCCAGTCTGCTAAGATGGGTCCTTTCCATCTTTTCTGCCATTCGGTCTGCTATACCACAAGTCTTTTCTTGAGCCTATTAGACAGCTTTTTAAACCTGACATTCTGGTGCATTGGGCCCTTGCAGTTTTCATGCAGATTAGTTAACTTTCATGTTACCAAATGTCTCACTGGAGTATGCTTTTTGCTCTCCAATCCATAATTCAAAATGTATCTTCTTCTTATTCACCTCTCTGTGCTTTATTTTTTTTGGCAGACTTTTGATAGATTTCTAAACATTCAGTTTTTCCTTTCTTTTCACAGTGTCACGCAGCTGACCAACATAAGTCCGAAGTGCTTTAGAATTCAAATAATTCTACAAACCCTGCTTTACAGTTAGGAGTGCAGTGGTGAGGTTCAAAACTTAGACTTGGGCTGGGTGCAGTGAGTCACACCTGTAATCCCAGCACTTTGGGAGGCTGGGGTGGGAGGATCACTTGAGCCCAGGAGTTTGAGACTAGCCTGGGCCACAGAGTGACACTCTGTCTCTAAAAAACAAACAAACAAAACTTAGACCTGAATGTAGGTAACAGGTGGCACTAATATCTACTTCAAAATGATTTATCAGTTCAAGTCTGAAAGACTCCATGCAGTAAGCATTGCTTGGGGGGATTAACATAATGTGAGAAAGGGCAGATGGTATTTCCTGCGTTCTGGAGAGCCTTAGAGTGTTGCATGCTGTCTGTCCACCCCTGCCTCAAGTAACAGAAACTGGGTTCAAGTTGGCGTTCACAATAAAGAGGGACGTAGGAACAGGAAGTCCACAAGCAGAGCACTCTCCAGTGCCTTAGTTCGGAGCTTCGGCTCTGCTTTGTCCATGTCAGCTTTGTCCGTAGGCTGACTCCCTGTATTAGTCCATTCTCACACTGCCATAAAAATGCTACCTGAGGCTGGGTAATTTATAAACAAAAGAGGTGTAATTGACTCACAGTTGGGCATGGCTGGAGAGGCCTCAGGAAACTTACAATCATGGTGGAAGGCAAAGGGGAAGCAGGAACCTTCTTCACAAGGCAGCAGGAGGCAAGGAGAGGGCACCGGGGGGAGTACCATTTTTAATGCCATCAGATCTCAGAACTCCCTATCCTGAGATCAGCAAGGGGGAAATCGCGCCCCCGATCCAATCACTGCCACCGGGTCTGTCGCTCAGCACGTGGGGATTACAATTAGAGATGAGATTTGAGTGGGGACACAGAGCCAAACCATGTCACTTTCTTTAAGGTTACAGAGTGGCTGCTAGAACCCCCAGAATCCTTATGTTTCTTTGTCCGCCAGTTTGGGAGAGAGAATTAGGTCCCCAAACCATGGAATATAAGTTCTCAAAATCCTTAGATTCCCCTAAGTCACATGCCCACCCCTGGACCAGTAAGACTCAGCCAGCCACACAATGCTATGAGCCCTGTCCTTTTGATCGGGATCCATCATTGGAGCTGGGGGCGCAGGTAGACAGCCACCTGAGCAGAACAGGGCCTCTGAAGAGGGAAGAGGGCAGTAGATGCTTAGTAGGCAGCCAACACTTTCCATTATCTCATCTAACCAGTAATTTAGTTAACACGGTTTTATCTATTGTTCTTTTTTGTAACTATAGAACATCTTAAAGTGGAAGTCTTTCTGTATACTATGAAGCCGTGTTTTCTAATACAGTAGCCATCAGCCACTTGTTACTATTGTAACTTAAAGTAATTAAAACAAAAATTAGTACTTAAGTGACACTGGTTGTATTTCAGGTGTTGGGTAGGCACCTGTGTGTGGTGGCTACCTTACTGAACAGCACAGATACAGAACATTTTCATCATTTCAGAAAGATCTGTTGAACAGAGCTGCTCTCAATTGTTTCAGGTAAAGTTTTTGTGTAAGCATTTAGCCGCAGTGGAAACAAGGATAGTGCCTGCTTTACTAGGTTTTCATCTTATGTTGGGGATTATAGGATCTAAAATTTAGCCAAAATGGGAAATAGGACTTCATTCATATTGAGGTGATTGAATATAACGTTTGATACTACTTAGGACTTAAAAATATCAGAGCTGTTTTTAAAAATATTCTTTTTTCCATTAAGAAAGTACAAATTATTTTTTGTTATGTAATAACTCTGTGCAACTTTGATGATACCTCGAAGTTCAGAATATGGAAAATGTTGTAATGTGAACAACTTTACGTGGTGGTCACATACCCATGATAATGCTTCTCACAGTAGAGTGAAAGTGACTGCCCAGTTTGTCGTTCTAGTAGAGTATGCTAAACTTTCCAGGGAATATAGTCGAATATGTATTAGTGCAATCACAGATACGTTTGATATACTCCTGTCTCCACTATTCTGAGGCTGTATCTATCAAACCAGAATTAGGGCTAAAGAATTGTTATATTAAGTACCTCAAAAATAGTTATGTCCCCCTGTAGTCTCAGCTAGTGGGGACGCCGGAGGATCACTTGAGCCCAGGAGTTCTGGGCTGTAGTGTGCAGTGCTGATAGCAGGTGTCTGCATGAAGTTCGGTATCAATACGGTGACCTCCTTGGAGCAGAGGACCACCAGAGTGCCTAAAGAGAGGTCAACTAGCCCAGTCTAGAAACTGAGCAGGTCAAAACTTTCATCTCATCAGTAGTGGGGATCCCTGTGAATAGCCACTGTACTCCAGCTTGGACAAAATAGCAAGACCCTGACTCTAAAACAGTAAATAAATATTTACATATGAGATTATATCTATACATTATATGACTAGGTTATTGGAGATGTGTACGTGTGTGTGTGTGTATATATATCTATTTCCAGTAACCAATATATTATATCTTCAATAACCTAGTAATACTACTTAAAATATGGACAAAAATGTTATGTATGAGGAACCTATTTATAGTGCATTAAAACTGGGGACAATCTAAGCTTCTAAGAGTAAGAGAATGACCAAATCAATAATGGGATGTTGTATCTCCCAAGATAATGAATTATTTCTTATCCAGCTGTTCAGACTCATATTTTTGGTGACTCTTTAATGGTGTATGCATAAGGTAATGGTAAAGAATGCAAAATTACATGTAGTATAGAAAGCAGTAATCTAGGATCTAAAATAAGTTCATGCAGTTTAGTTCTCAGCTGGCTCCTGTGAACAAAATCCAAGGTCAAAGAAGACTGAGCAACCAGATAATTGTTTTGAATAGATTTCTTTACAAAGTAAAATATAGTTTCAGAAGCAACTGAGTTCACTTTATCCTTCTTGCTGTATATTAACCTGCTTTTATCATATCGCTCTCTTGCTCAAAACTTCAGTGACTCCTTAGGAATTAAAAAGTCCTCTAGAATTCCAGCCTCTTTCTCCTTACCCTGGAAAGGCCCATGTTTACATATTGACACTGCGTGCCTTTCCGAGTACCATTTCCAGTTTAACCTAGAATGACTTTCCATCTTCTTTTCCAATGCTCTGAGGTTGGGCTTTCAAAGGTATCCTGCAGCCTTCAGCTGACCACTGCAGTTCAGTTAGCCTTTTCTTTTTCCCCCAATACATAGAATGTTTTATAAACTTGTAGCTCATGTCTGACATGTCTCCTATCTTGGAATATTTAATTACCCTTTTCCAGCTAGATTGTAAACTACTTAAAGACAGTGAAAACATATATTATATTAATTTGTTCTAGGTGCCTAAAGGGTTACAGTTCTGTGTATTGTCCACCCTTTGGTAGGGGTCAGTGAAGAGCTGCACCGTTAAGTTCTTTTGTAACTGTTTTATGTTGGTAGATTTTAGGTACTCTGAAGATATAGAAGAAAATCCCCTGGTTTGTGCTAGAGGAGTTATAACTGAGTTGAGAAAACTAAGAGTTAAATTTCCTGGAGTAATGATGAACAACTGGGAGATGCTTAGTAAATATTTCAGGCCCAGTGCTGTGGTATGCTACCTGAGAGGCAGAGGCGGGAGGATCGCTTGAGTCAGGAGTTAGAGGTTTTGATGAGCTATGGTCATGCCACTGCACTACAGCCTAAGTGACAGAGCAAGACCCTGTCTCTAAACGTGTGTGTGTGTGTTTTGTAGTGAAGTTCTTCCCTGCTACTAATCACGGAAGCGGTACGAGATGGAATGACTGTAGAGAAATCCTTGTCATTTCCCTGTCGTGACAGGAAAGGTGGAACTGCATCCTCTGTCCTCAGACACGGTTTAATGGTCTGTGCTCACTCACCAGGCGTTACCTGCAGAAACGGCAAATAGATTTTTGTTAATTAACATGTTTACGTTTATTGAGCATTCCTTGTATGTATGTACTCATGGGGCGATTTAAGTGTTGTTGTGAGTTTTACCTAGTTTAAGAAGTACTCCGAAGGTTGAGAGAGTGTCCATCAGTAGTAAGGAAGACGGGTAAGAAGTACTCCGAAGGTTGAGAGAGTTTCAATCAGTAGTAAGGAAGACGGGTAAGAAGTACTCCGAAGGTTGAGAGAGTGTCCATCAGTAGTAAGGAAGACGGGGACTAAGAATAGAAGGAATATATCATGCTAACTTGGACAAAAGGCCATAAAGGATGATAGTGGCAGAACGTAACATCTCAGGTATGGAAATTGTAAGTTATGTTGTTGTTATGTTGAATTTATGTATCAACATACAAACATACATTCTAGACTCATCAGGCAAGAACAGCGAAAGTTAATTTATGCTTTAAGGACAAGGTAATGGTTTTAACATCAAAAAAGTTAAATTTTTATTGGTAAAAAAAAGTTGTGCTGTAAGGAAAGAGGCTTTCTTACAGGTGTATAGTTCAAACTTGTAAGTAAAGATAAGAGTATCACGAAGTCATCCCTTCAGGAGCTGAGCATCTTAG